GGGGGGGGCAGGCACTGCAGCAGGAGGTTGCAGAGACCACTGGCTGCTGGGAGGTGGGCATGGGACAGCAGGGCCATGATGGGGTCACCCCAGGTTGGGGCCCCAGGTGTGACAGACTAGTGCCAAGGCCCCATGAAAGCTGTGAACCTGCTGGACCAGAGTTGACCCCCCACCACTTACACACCCAGGACGCCAGTCTGCGCCTTCTGGCCTTTGGTCTGGGGCTTTCTGAGCTGCTGCTCTCAGACCCATGGGTGGGCCAGGTGGAGGAGGGCAGGTGCTGTGGGGCTTAGGAAGCTGGTGACAGGAGGGCTGTGGTCTGGTGGTGTGGGGCCAATCTGACCAGTGTCCGGGCCCTGCAGAGAGCAGCATGGAGGAGGTGGTGATTGCTGGCATATCTGGGAAGCTGCCCGAGTCAGAGAACCTGGAGGAGTTCTGGGCCAACCTCATTGGCGGTGTGGACATGGTGACAGACGACGACAGGCGGTGGAAGGCTGGTGAGTGGGCAGTGGGTTCAGCGCGTCCGCCTGTCCGTCCTGCCTGGGGCTGCCGGCCGATTTCCTGGAGATGGAGGCCGAGTGGGGTCTGGCTCCGACCCTGGTGTGCATCCTTGCCTGTTCTACAGCTGAGTTAGAGGACCTGCGGGGGTCCAGAACTGGGGGGCAGGGGCAGGGCCAGGGTAACGCCAAGTGGGTCAGCACCCCCATCCACCCACCACCCTGTCCCTGCAGAGCCGGTGGCCACTGCTGCCCACATGTCGGAGGTTAGATAAGATGCCGGCTCTCTGGGGAAGCTGGTTTGACTCCCTCACACCTAGTAGGCTCTTGCGCAGAGCTGTTCTACCTGATCTGCAGGGTGTGAGTCAGCATGGTGGAGCCTAGCCCAGTGGAGGCCAGGCGGAGGGTCTGCAGCCAGGACAGCAGGGGGCTGCAGGAGACACCTCTACCCGGGGCCACTCCCCACCCTATGGGGAGCACCAATCTCCCTGTTGGTCCCTCAGGGCCTGTGCCGTCCCTCAGTGGGTGCCTTCCATCTGCCCGTGTCTGCAGGACTCTATGGCCTGCCCAGGCGGTCTGGCAAACTGAAGGACCTGTCCAAGTTCGATGCCACATTCTTCGGGGTCCATGCCAAGCAGGCACACACGATGGACCCCCAACTGCGCCTGCTGCTGGAAGTCACCTACGAGGCCATTGTAGATGGAGGTGGGTCGCCTGGAGGCCAGTGGCCAACCTGGGGTCACAAAGTGTCAGTGTCCTCATGTTTTTGCTTCTAAAAACAGCACATATTCGGAGTAAAACAGCACTGACGGTCCCGGGGGAGGGGCCCCAGCCGGGCTCTCTCTGTCCCCAATTGGGGCTGCCATGCCTGAAGCTCTGGAGGCGTGGGCCCTTGGGCAGGTCTGGTTTCACAATGGGCCCAAGGTGTCCTGGGCGTGCCCTGATGCCCCAGTTTCCTTACTCCCATCCGAGGGCTGATCTTGGGGTGAGGGCCGGTGCTGGGCAAGTAGGGGATAGTGCCCCAGCCCCCAGGACCCCTACCCTGGGTTGTGTCTAGCCCAGAGGTAAACTGTCCCTTGTTCTGGGGCACAGATCTTTCCTTGCTGTGCCCACCCACCCAAGAGAAGGGGTAGGTGGCCGGCCCTGACGGGGAGCCTAGGGGCCACCCACCCTTGCCTTTGGTCAGCAGGTGCTAGCCAGCCCCTGGGGTCGACACCGAGCGGAACAGGTCATAGACATACACACCTCTCCTGGCGAGTGGGGAAGGGAGGAAGGCAGACCCTGGTGGCCTTCCACTGCCTAGGCCCTGCCCAGAGACCTTGGATGCCACTCCTCTGGGGCTGGCAGGGTCCTTCCCTCCCTTAAGGGCCTGGACACTCAGCTTTTGTCTCCCTCTGTCTCCTTATCTCGCCTGTCCCAGGCAGGCCGCCCTTGAGGCTTGGGTGCTCATTGGCCCTTGGGGCTCGCCAGACTCTGCCAGTGACACCAGGGGCCAGGGGAGTAGCCTGGGGACAATGCCGCCCTCTGTCCTCACTTCTGTCTGTCTTTGACTGCTGCCTGACCCAGAGCCTGGAGCCCCACCTCGCACCACCTCCCCCTCGTCCCCCACCCCCGAGGCCCCAGTTTTTTGTGACCTGGTTCTCTGTCTCAGCCTTCCCTGGGCTTGCCCTGCCTGGCACCTCTGGTCAGGCTGAGGGGGGCCTTACTCTCCAGGGCTGGGCAGTGGGCAGGGGAGACCCAGCACTCTGACTGCTGCTTCCCGCAGGCATCAACCCGGCCTCCCTCCGGGGGACCAACACCGGCGTCTGGGTCGGCGTGAGCGGCTCTGAGGCCTCTGAGGCCCTGAGCCGAGACCCTGAGACGCTTGTGGGCTACAGCATGGTGGGCTGCCAGCGAGCCATGATGGCCAACCGCCTCTCCTATTTCTTCGACTTCAAAGGTGGGTGCCCGCAGTGGGGCATGGGCCCACCACCAGCGAGTCCCTTCCAGCCTTGGCCTCCCCACCCCCTGGAAGGCCGGTGGGGCCCCGAGGGCCTTACACCCCTGCTCCTTGCCCTTGGCTGCAGGGCCCAGCATCGCTCTGGACTCAGCCTGCTCCTCCAGCCTGCTGGCCATGCACAACGCCTACCAGGCCATCCTCAGCGGGGAGTGCCCGGTGGCCCTCGTGGGTGGCATCAACATCCTGCTCAAGCCCAACACTTCTGTGCAGTTCATGAAGCTGGGCATGCTCAGCCCCGAGGGCGCCTGCAAGTCCTTCGATGATGCTGGTGAGGACTCTGGGCATGGGGGTGGAGGCCCAGAGCAAGGGCAGCACCCCCACCCCGCCTCCCCTGACACCAGCCCAGGCGCCCCCCGCCACCCCTGAGCCACCCTCTGCCCTCAGGGAACGGGTACTGCCGCTCAGAGGCCGTGGTGGCTGTCCTGCTGACCAAGAAGTCCCTGGCCCGGCGGGTGTACGCTACCATCCTGAACTCTGGCACAAACACAGACGGCGCCAAGGAGCAAGGTGGGAGCAGCTGGAACAGGTGAGGGACTCCACTGGTGGTCGGTGGGTGGAGTGCTGAGCCCTGGCCCTTCCCACAGGTGTGACCTTCCCGTCTGGAGAGGCCCAGGAGCAGCTCATGCGCTCCCTGTATGAGCCAGCCGGGGTGACCCCCAAGTCCCTGGAGTACATCGAAGCCCACGGCACAGGGACCAAGGTGAGACCCCACTCACCCCCTCTACCTGGCTGCCCAGTTGCAGTCCTGACCCTCTTTGTGTCCCCCACAGGTGGGCGACCCACAGGAGCTGAATGCCATCGACCGAGTCCTGTGTGCCGCCCGCCAGGACCCCCTATTGATCGGGTCTACCAAGTCAAACATGGGGCACCCGGAGCCTGCCGCGGGGCTGGCAGCTCTGGTCAAGGTGGGTGGGTCCCCTCGGTCAGGCTGTGGGGTGCCTGGCCCCTGTCCTGGTTCACTGTGGGTCCGACATTCAGGGCCGCAGGGAGAGGAAACGGCTGGGGCAGCCCTGGCCAGGCGGATCATCCCCACGGCCTCCTGAGCAGTAGGTGGGGACTAGGTGGCCAGCAGAGACACCCACCAATGGTCACCCACAGTACCCTGGCTACCATTGCTTGAGCTCCTAAGGGGAGGGCGCTTCCCAGGCTGTAGGCTCCCAGCGGCAGTCACCTGTTTGNATAGTCTCCCAGCGGCAGTCACCTGTTTGCAGCTCTCGTGTCAGACCTGAACAGAGCCTGGCCTAGGGGCCTTTACGTTCCGTCCAGTCACCCTCGGAGGTGGTGAGGACATAAAGCCCAGAGAGGAGAGGGGTCTCGAGGTGGACGCCTGTGGTGTGCTGGGGCAGGTGTGGGAGCGCGGGACGCCACAGCCGCAGGGCCCGTGGTGGGCCTCGGGGTTCAGGGCTGCGCTCTGCCGGCAGGTGGTGCTGTCGCTGGAGCACGGGCTCTGGGCCCCCAACCTGCACTTCCACAGCCCGCACCCTGAGATCCCCGCGCTGCGGGCCGGGCGGTTGCAGGTGGTGAACCAGCCCCTGCCTGTCCGTGGGGGCAACGTAGCCTTGAACTCCTTCGGCTTCGGGGGCTCCAACGTACATGTCATCCTCCGGCCCAACCTGCTTCCGCCCCCGGCGCCTGCCCCCCATGCTGCCTTGCCCCGTCTGCTGCTGGCCAGCGGGCGCACCCCTGAGGCCGTTCAGGACCTGCTGGAGCAGGGCCGCCAGCACAGCCAGAACCTGGCCTTCGTGAGCATGCTCAACAACATCGCCGTCACCCCCGTCGCCGCCATGCCCTTCCGGGGATACGCCGTGCTGGGTGGTGAGGGTGGTGGCCCGGAGGTGCAGCATGTGCTCTCCAGCCAGCGCCCACTCTGGTTCATCTGCTCTGGTGAGTTCTGTCCCAGGCCCTCCCCGGGCGATGGGGCAGTGGGACTGTGGCCAGGCCCCTGAAACCTCTTGCGCACAGGGATGGGCACGCAGTGGCGCGGGATGGGGCTCAGCCTCATGCGCCTGGCCAGCTTCCGAGACTCCATCCTGCGGTCGGACGAGGTCCTGAAGCCCTTGGGCCTGCAGGTGTCGGAGCTGCTGCTGAGCCCAGACGAGGCCACCTTCGACGACACCGTCAACGCTTTCGTGAGCCTGACGGCCATCCAGGTGCACCCCAGGGTCGGGTTGGGGGCCTGGCAGGAGCCCCACAGCGCCAGCCTCGCCCCAGGTCTGATGATGTGTCTGACCCCAGGTTGCCCTCATCAGCCTGCTGACCTCCATGGGCCTGAAGCCGGACGGCATCATCGGACACTCCCTGGGTGAGGTGGCTTGTGGCTACGCCGACGGCTGCCTCTCTCAGGAAGAGGCCATCCTCTCCGCCTACTGGAGGGGCCAGTGCATCAAGGAGGCCAACCTCCCGCCGGGGGCCATGGCGGCTGTGGGTGGGTGTTGCTCGGTGCTGCTGGGGCCCGAGGGGCAGACATGGGGGGCCTGGGGGGACTCTGTGCCCAGCACACCTCCTGGTGGCCGTCAGTACTGGCCAGTGTGGCAGTCACCTGAGCCTGAGCTGAGTCCATGGGACTTTTGACAGAGTGTTGGGTCCCTCGTCTTGGCTCCCACTCACAGGCGGAAGGAGCCGTGAGTGTCATGACTGACGGAGAGAGACCCGTGTGCTGGTGGTAATGACGCCTCTACTTGGGATGAAGCGGGGCTGGGGTTGGGGGTAGTGCCTCATAAAGGCTGCTTTCTTCGCGGCTGTCATTACCGAGCCCGGTCATTATGCCGCCCTCTGAGGCCACCTTGCCCACAGGCTTGTCCTGGGAGGAGTGCAAGCAGCGCTGTCCCCCTGGCATCGTGCCTGCGTGCCACAACTCTGAGGACACCGTGACCATCTCAGGACCTCAGGTGTGCACTGGGAGACAGGCCTGGGTCTCAAGTCCCCTCCCCGACTCTCAGGGCCAGCTCTGCATGAGGGGCCAGTGCACAGCCCAGGACCATCACTGCCCCCCTCACCCTGCCCATCACCCCGCCCTGTCCTTCCCAGGCCTCAATGTCCAAGTTTGTGGAGCAGCTGAAACAGGAGGGTGTGTTTGCCAAGGAGGTGCGGACAGGTGGCTTCGCCTTCCACTCCTACTTCATGGAGGGCATCGCCCCCTTGCTGCTGCGGGAGCTCAAGAAGGTGGGCTGGCCTCCCACGGGGCGGCCTGGAGGGGCCTGCAGAGGTCAGGCAGTGGGCCGAGCACCCCAGCGCTGACCCAGCGGCCCTGTGCGCAGGTGATCCGTGACCCACGGCCCCGCTCCGCACGCTGGCTCAGCACCTCCATCCCAGAGGCCCAGTGGCAGGGCAGCCTGGCCCGCACGCTCTCCGCCGAGTACAACGTCAACAACCTGGTGAGCCCTGTGCTGTTCCAGGAAGCGCTGCTGCATGTGCCGGAGCACGCCGTGGTGCTGGAGATCGCCCCCCATGCCCTGCTGCAGGTGTGCGCCCGGGGCCGGGTCTGCGGGCTCCGGGAGGGGAGGGGCTCTCGGGGGTCCGAGAGAGACTGAGGATCCGCGCCTGGGCTCAGCCTTGTGGGCACGGGAAGTGTGGGCAGGTGGATGCCAGTCAAGGACCCCGGCCGGACTGTTCTCTGCAGGCTGTGCTGAAGAGAGGCCTCAAGCCAAGCTGCACCATCATCCCCCTGATGAAGAAAGGCCACGCGGACAACCTGCAGCTCTTCCTCAGCAACATGGGCCAGCTGCACCTGGCTGGGTGGGTCTATGCCCCTACCCGACTCTGGGGGTCCCAGGCTCCCTGGGTGGTCCACACTGTACTTCTCCACAAGAGATGGCAAGGCCCACACCCCATCTTGGTGGTCTCTGGTGTCTTAGGGAAGACGGTTGGCAGTGGGTGTGACAGAGTGGTCCCAGGGCCAGGTGTGCCCCTAACATTCTCCCCCACCCCCAGCATTAACATCAACCCCAACGGCCTGTTCCCGCCTGTGGAGTTCCCAGCTCCCCGGGGCACCCCCCTCATCTCCCCCCACATCAAATGGGACCACAGCCAGACCTGGGACGTGCCTGCAGCTGAGGACTTCCCCAACGGCTCCGGCAGCTCCTCTGCCACCATCTACAACATCGGTGAGCCTGTGGGCGGGGGGTAAGGGGCTCGGCTCCTCTCTCCTGAGCATGGTTCTGAAGCCTGTGCCCCTGCAGACCCCAGCCCCGAGTCCCCCGACCACTACCTGACGGACCACCGCATTGATGGCCGGGTCATCTTCCCGACCACTGGCTACCTGTGCCTGATCTGGAGGACGCTGGCTCGCGCCCTGGGCCAAAACATGGAGCAGATGCCTGTGGTTTTTGAGGACGTGACTCTGCACCAGGCCACCATCCTGCCCAAAACAGGTGAGGCGGGGTGGCCGAGAGGGGCTGTGGGGGGGCGTGCTGACCGGTGACCCCTGACCCCTGGTGCTAACCTCTGATCCTGCTGCCCACAGGCACTGTGCCCCTGGAGGTGAGGCTTCTGGAGGCCTCTCACACCTTCGAGGTGTCTCAGAGCGGCAACCTGATTGTGAGCGGTGAGCAGGGGCATTGAGGCTACCAGGTTCCCACGAACCTCTGGGTGGTTCCCTGGTTCCCAGCCTGGTTCTCCCCAGCCCTCAGGCCCTCCTGCCACCCTCCCCACAGGGAAGGTGTACCAGTGGGAGGACCCTGATCCCAAGCTCTTTGACAACGGGAACAGTGTGGATGCTGCAGACCCAGCAGACCCAATGGCCACATTCCGCTTGACCCTGGGCGACGTGTACAAGGAGCTGCGGCTGCGTGGCTACGACTATGGCCCACACTTCCAGAACATCCTTGAGGCCAGCCTCGAAGGTGGGCACGAGCTCTGGGGCCACCTCTGAGGCCAGACTGGCCTCTCCTGCTGCCTAAGCACGTAGTTGAACCCGGTGGAGGGTGGGAAGTCATAGGCGGATGAGCTGCATGAGACCTGACCCCACGCGCCGACGGCCCCTCTTCCACAGGCAACACTGGCCAGCTACTGTGGAAGGACAACTGGGTGACCTTCCTGGACAGCATGTTGCAGATAACCATCCTGAGCTCCGACCAGCGCAGCTTGCGCCTGCCCACCCGCGTCACTGCCATCCACATCGACCCCGCCACCCACTGGCGGAAGGTGTATAGCTTGGGCAAGACCCAAGGTAGCACAGCCCCCACATACCTTTGCGCCCACACTGTGCCCCATGGCACTGCCCACACTCACCGGCATGTCCCCACAGTGGTCGACGTGGTGGTGAACAGCTACCTGAGCAGCATGGTGGCTGGGGGCGTCCTAATCTCAAGACTCCACACCTCAGTGGCCCCGCGCCGGCAACATGAGTTCACCCCCATCCTGGAGAAGTTCTGCTTCACGCCAAATGTGGAGAGCAGGTGCCTGGCAGGGAACATGGCACTGCAGGAGGAGCTGCAGCTGTGCAGTGGTGAGGCCCCCTTCCGGCCCCTGTGCACCAGCCTCTCACACACTGCTGGTGATGGGGAGCTCATCACCTCCCCACACAGCCTGTCACTGGGACCTGGTCTAGTTTTGCATGCCCCAGTCTTCTGAGGGGGCCTGGGGCTCAAAGATAACAAATCTCATCCCTCATAGCTGTGCCCAACACCCAGCCCAGCTGCTTAGGCGTGTTCCTCAGGCATGAGAGGGCTCACCTGTGCTGATGGGTGGGGGACAGGGCAGCAGGTGGTGACCTCAGGTCACTGAACTCACTGTCTGTGGAGATCCACCCTTTGTGGGGCTCATGCCTTAGTTGGGGACACAGCAGTCTCTGTTCTCAGGCCCTAAATGGTCAACGCCAGTTCTGAGCCCTGGACAGCTGGGCTGCCCACTCCGTTCCTGCATCTCTTTGGTGGGCAGGGCTGGGCAGTACACCCTGAGGATGGGGCCACATGGGTCCTGGTTCCCCCAAGTCCCTGCTCCAGTCGGACACCTCCTGCCCTGGGATCCTGGGACACCAGCCCAGCTGAAGCCCCTTCCTAATGCCTGTCTTCCCCTCCCCAGGGTTGGCACAGGTGTTGCAGACCAAGGTGGCCCAACAGGGGCTGAAGATGATAGTGCCTGGGCTAGATGGAGTGCAGGCCCCCAGGAAGCCCCCACAGCAGGGCCTGGCTCGGCTGCTGGCATCCGCCTGCCAGCTGCAGCTGAACGGGAATCTGCAGCTGGAGCTGGGCCAGGTGCTGGCCCAGGAGAAGCCCTTGCTGCATAATGACCCGCTGCTCAGTGGTCTCCTTAACTCCCCGGCGCTCAAGGCCTGCGTGGACACTGCCCTGGAGAATGTGACCAGCCTGCGGATGAAGGTGGTGGAGGTGGGTGCTGAGCAGGGCAGTCGGCCATGGGCCAGGTCTGAGCAGGCCCAGTGTGAGATGGCCCACTCAAGACTTCGCGACCACCGTCTCCATTGCCCCTGCCCCCCACTGGGGGAGAAGGGACATGGAGATGCTGCAGACGGGTGGCTGGGTAGGCCTTTCTGGCATATGTTCAACCAGCCTGGGTCTGTCTGCCAAGGGGGCAGCCAGTCTAGAAATCTCTCGTTCCCCCCCAGGTGCTGGCTGGTGACGGCCACCTATACTCCCGCATCCCCGCACTGCTTAACACCCAGCCCATGCTGCAACTGGACTACACGGCCACTGACCGCCACCCTCAGGCCCTGGAGTCTGCCCACGCCACGCTGCAGCAGCATGGTGTGGCCCAGGGCCAGTGGGACCCTGCAGATCCCGCCCCCAACAGCCTGGGCGCTGCTGACCTCCTGGTGTGTAACTGTGCGGTGGCCACCCTTAGCAACCCGGCTACAGCCCTCGGCAACATGGCAGCCGCCATCAAGGAGGGGGGCTTCCTCCTGCTGCACACCCTGCTCAGGGGACACCCCCTAGGGGAGACAGTCGCCTTCCTGACCTGTCCTGAGCCAAAGCCAGGCGGGCAGAGCCTCCTGAGCCAGGAGGAGTGGGAGGGCCTGTTTGCTGGGGCGTCCCTGCACCTGGTGGCCTTGAAGCAGTCGTTCTATGGCTCTGTGCTCTTCCTGTGCCGCCGACCAGCCCAACACGACAGACCCATCTTTCTGCCGGTGGAGGACACCAGCTTCCAATGGGTAGACTCACTCAAGGTTAGTCCCTGCCAGTGCCCGGGCCCAGGCCCAGGCCCAGGTGCCTCATTACTGCACAGGTGGGCCCAGGCACCACCCCC